CTTGAGCCCTTCCACCTCAGGAGGTGTTTCGCTACAAAGCCAAAATCTCCTCTCCTCTCCTCTCCTCTCTCCTCTCCTCTCCTCTTCCTCCTTCCTCTTTTAGCCCTCTGGGTCTTCACTTGTTTGGGGAAGATGTCCACACTACATCTGGGCACAAAGGCCCTCTGGACATGGACAGATTCTCTGAATGTTTCCAGAAGGAGTGATCATCCAGCTATTTCTCAAGGCAGAAGTCCTCAACAGTGACAGAAGCTGTGCAAATGATCCCACCCCCACCCCCCCAGCTCTGAGGACCTCCCACCTGGGATTTCCCTTGGGAGCGAATGGGGCAGGGTGTGTGGGTGTGCCAGGGAGGGCTAGAAAGGGGAGAGTGCATGGAAAAGCAGGATATTCACACCTGTGTCCCTTGGCCACTCATCACAAAGTTAAGTGCAAGAACACTAACTCCTCCCAGGAGAAATTTCAGCAAAATCTCTTTTCCTTTGGAAATAACTTGAAAAGCAAACTGTCCTTCATGCAGTTGAGTGAAAACGGTTGGGGGGAAGTGCAGGTGAATCTCCCACATGGCACCAACCAGTGTTTTCGTGACCATTGGTTTTGGTGGCAAAGAACACAGGGAGGCTGGGCTATCGCCCTCCTGTGTCCCCTTCCTCATTACTGAGATGGACTGGGGACTCAACAAAATTCTGTTCTCCTCTGGAGTCACTTCTAAAGGGGATTTTCATTTGTCCAGTGGAATAAGAACAGGTGACCAAAAAGATACAAGAGGATTTCTGGTGTGCATCTGAATTCATTCCAAAATGGCAAAAATTAATCTTCAGTTCACTTCAATTCCCACTCCTAAAGAGGCTGTACTGGTCTTCGAGGGGCGATGCGAGGGAAGCGCCACTTCCAACAGACCCACCAAGCAAAGCAGCGCCTTGCTTCCAATTCCCCACACGGACAGCCCTTCTGCTTCACCTTTTCGATGACAGGGAGTTCTCTCTGCAGGCCAAGCGCTGCGCAGAAGTGGGCCGGCCGAGCAAGGCAGTGCTCCGCAAGGCCCTCAGGAAAACGAAGACGTCACGCTGTGTAGCTGCAGAAACGTGAGAGGCACCGGGATGACTTCTGAGCCCGTGAGCATTGTAATTACCCAGAGTAGGGCATGGCTCTGTGCCCTGACAGTCCGCATCCCTTACGAGCATCGAACGGTTGTGGCCTGTCTCCACAGTGCGTAAACTGGGAGAGAGCCTGTGAGAAAGCAAGCTTCCTTGAACCGCCACCACTGGCAGCCGGGAAGAGATCCCCTTTTTAGGCCCTCACGGAGGTAAATGAAGAGTTCCACAGGGATCCGAGGCACGAGGCTCAGAGCGGCAGTGTTCTGCTCTTCGGTGGCCTCTCCGTAGGCGTACTGCTAACCCCGCTCACAGTGAATGGCTTATCTGACCAGCACCCTGTCCTCGCTCTGCTGCTGTGCCCACCAAAGGTCACATTAAGCCTCAGCCTCTGAGATACCACATGTTGATACCAATATTTCGATCATGGCCATTTCAGGAAAGGGCAGAGGTGAACTGTATTGTTTTCACAATCATGGTAGAAGCTTACTTATTTATTTATATAGTAATGCTGACTCTGGATGGCAAATGCAGGATTAAAATCAATGAATAACTAAAGCAAAACTAATTAAGAACAACAACAGCAGCAGTACAATGGTACCAGAGGACATTGTAACTCAGGGAACACAACTGCAATCACATTAAGACCACCACAGTGACAGGCTCCCTCAACCTCCAGACCCCCAGGGGACGATCAGGTCTTAGGACTTACAAAATGCCAGCAGGGCAAACAATGCCCTTGTTGACCTTTCTGCTCTGCTATTGGCCTGGGCCATTTACTATGTCCTCCCCAAGCTGCAGATTCCTCCAGGAGCTGATGGCCTGTGGAGCTCTCCATCCCTCACTGGAAGATAACTGTCTGTCCCTTTTTGCACTGAATTTAAAACAAACTGTTTCCTTCTTCCCTTTCATCTGCTTGTGCTGATGCTACTTTGATGGACTCTCTTGACAGAGAGTCCTCCACCACAGAATATGATCCTTTGGACTTGCTGCAAGTTGCTCTGAAAGCAGAGAAGTATTGAGGAGTGGATAAGAGATCCACTGGCACCTGTAGCTTTCTGCTTGTGAGAACAATTAGTCAAACCAAACCATTAAAAACTGATTGTTCGGCTTGCAGCTATTCCAATAAGAATCCAACTGTGATGGACTGGAATGGAGGAAGGGGGGTGAAAACGGTACTCTTGTCAGGTTCGGTCAGCACGAGGTTTCAGGGAAGCACGGGGCTGCAGGGAAGCTCGCAACCAGACCACGCGGAAT